GATAGGATGAGAGGAAATGGCCTCAAGTTGCACCAGGGGAGGTTTAGATTGGACATGAGGAAAAATGTCTTTACTGAAAGAGTGGTTAAACATTGGACCAGGCTGCCCAGGGAAGTGGTTGAGTCACCATCCCTGGAGGTATTTAAAAGACGTGTAGATGAGGCGCTTAGGGACATGGTTTAGTGGTTATGGTGTTGTTGGGTTGATGGTTGGACTAGATGATCTTAGAGGTCTTTTCCAACCTTAATGATTCTATGATTCTATGAAATTCAAACAGTAAAGAATGATGGCATTAATGCTTGTTTGAGCAAAGCACAGATTCTGCTTCCACTCCTTCGTTCTGCTTGCAGCCTCTCAGAGCAACGCACTGGCTAGCTGAGTTTTACCAGACAAATGCCACAGCTCCTCTCCTCCCATTCTGCAAGGCTCAAAGAGGAATTTATATATGCTATGCAACCTTATTCACTATTTTAGAGAGAAAGACAAATAACAATACCCATAAATAAAGAACAAAATCAATAAAAACAAAAAACAAATAAGCAAGAATGAAGCCTGTGGAAATAAGAAAGACAGTGGATCACTGCTAGTGACAGCCATTTGTGAGACATCCAAAGAAAAGATAATCCAGTATTGTGGTTGATATTTCATGTCAGTTCTGACAGTAACAACAATTGTTCCTGTACATGTTGACACCTGAAGATGAGTGGTGAAAAAGGAGACATTTTCTAGACTCAGTTCAGAAAGCATCATTACTTAAGTTGGTGGAGACAAGTGACTAGGACTTAATTCAGTAATTTTGAACGTAAGCTACGTTAGGCATTCAACAAATTGATTCCCATTTTTTTCTTCCTGACACCTAATATTCAAAGATAATCTTTGCAAGCCATCTGGCCAAGTCATAATCCACTTTTGTTTCATTTGACAGATCGATGAAATAACATTACACAACAAGAGGTATACAAACTAATGAACATGCTTAAAGGCATGTTTTCTAATTTACTTGGAACAAAGCACAAAAAATTATAAACCAGTCTGAATCAATTTACTCCCATGGACCTCTACATCTACAAGTTGGTAAACACCTTTGTTATTATTCCTGATTTATTTTACACTAGCTTTCAAACGCGTGAAAGACAAATCCAGACACTCACAGGAAGATGCAGTATCTGCTTCCAAATTTTAGTCAGATCCATTCTTTCATCCATGCTCTTCAGAACTTTTTTGTCCAATTAGTCTCTTATTTCTAGATGGCTTCTGTGGCCAAAGAACTATTTGTAAAGCACATTAATCACGTATAGAGGGTGGACATCAGCCCTGAGACATAAAACCAAGGTTATGCCATTTATGGTCATTAAAGACACATGGCAGCTTCTTTAAACATGACATAAACCCAAGGCCTTCCCATTTGCTGTCAGTAAAGAAGCGCAGCTTGGTGATGAAGGAACTGCTGTGGCTGGCTGGCAACTCGTTAATTTTGAGCTGAATAATTGCATTCTGCTTCCATACGATACACTGTCCTAGATACATTCCCCTACTGTCCTGGTTTTGGCTGGGATAGTGTTAATTTTCTTCCTAGTAGCTGGTACAGTGCTGTGTTTTAGATTTAGTATGGGAATGATGTTGATAACACACCTTTGTACATTGTTCTCTTTTGTGATAATGCTGCCAAGAATTATAGGAGCAGGTTGCCTGATTGCACTGCTGTGCACTCTGTTAGACTTTCTGGGCTTAATTTTGAAGAGGCAATGTGGGCTAGAGGTGGGCAAGAAAGATATTTATCAGCACATTGGATCACATGGATAAGCAAGCAGAGAAAAAGGTTTAAACAGTGCTGACACTATGCATAGTCTTCTAAGTTCAGCCCTGAAAACAAATGTAATGCCTCTGAAGACACCACTGCTTAATGATTTTCTCTTACATCAAGTGACTCTGTTGATTAAGTCTGTGACCATGCTTTACTTCATGAATTTTTGGTTCATTGTGTATGGCATACCTCAATGTAATGCATAGGATGATTCAAATTATCTGCCTGCCATGACTGTGTCTAAACATATGTTTGACACACTGTAACTCACCTCTGGCTCACAAATCTACACATATTCTGCAGAAACATGGGAGTGGAGTGAGATGATGGTTAAGATAGGTCTGAGTTTCAACCTCATAGGAAGTCAGAAAGTGGATGGTGCATGTGCCTTGACCCAGGGAGCGGCAAGCTCTCCATGCTCTGATGGCAAAGGTATAGCCCAGGCACTCAAAGGTGGCAATGGCTTCTTTCATCTCTCACTCCCAGGGACTATGGTAGGGGATACCCACCCACTTAATCACCTGTGTTTGCCAACTCAGACTTCCCGGAGAGGAGCAAAATGGTTTGGGATGCTGCATCCTCTGTTTGCAGCAGATGACCTGTGTCTCATTCTCTACACTGTTTAAGAGCCAGGCAATGAGGTGTTTTCTGGGGCTTGGGTGCAATGCGGTTCTGAGCAACAAAGAGTCATTGAAAGATTAACCCAGGTGAAGCCATTGCAATGTTGCTTAAAGGAAGCAACCCAAGAGATCAGTGAGTACAGCATTTTACAACCACTGCAGAGGGGACCTCTTTCCTTTAGGAAAGAGAAGTGTGGGTGATCTGCTCTAACTGCTCCCAGAGCTCTGAAAATCAATTCTGTTACTAATGTCGAATAACCCAAATATGGAGCAAAAACAGCTCAGATTTTGCTAGAGACATTTCCAAGTTTATTTGTAGTTGAGTTTGTTATGACAGGTATCTATTTTTTGCTTATACTCAGAGGAAAAAGAGATGAGTGAATTTTTAAGTCCACAGAAATGAATAAACACATCAAATTAAGAAATTATTTCTCAAGTTCTGTCAAAAATATTTGTTCTCATAACTGTATTGTTAAAGAACCATTGCCTTACACTCATGAGGTGGCAGAGTTCCAGTGGCTCTAGAAGTTTAATAAAGTTTGTAATCAATGTATGATGGGAGAGAGATATGCACAAGACTAGTTTTGTATTGAAGGTTTGTTGGAACAAAGGTGTCAGGATAATAATATGTCCACACAGACATGTATGCCGGCACAGACATTTATACGTCTCAAACTGGTTCCAGTAAACCAATCCAGCCCTTCCTGTGCAAAATTAGCCCTCTCTATATTACAGAGAGGTTTGGGGTGTTTCAGTCTGGAAGGAGTCCAGAGGAAAGGGACATGTGAAGAAAACTACAGCAAAAATACAAGGATTATTTAACAATGCAAAGAGTTTAAAACAGCTTCTTAATATTAACTTTGGAACTGCTACCAAGGTAGATTTTAATGCAAAGGTGAGACATAAAATATTATTACTATAAAACATATGAATTTTAAATAGGGCGGAAAATTAACAGCTCATTTAATGTATAACAATAGTAAAAGAAACAGTTACTCATCTCCTCTGGGAGTGTATCATTGAGCAAAGTTATTGCCTTGTACAGACAATGCACCCTAGTATAAAAGGTCTGTCCTCTCTGCCTGGTGTTTTATGGTCAGGGAACAGCCATGCAGGGAATTCCAACAGGGAATCACTTGACCTGGGCACGCAGAAAGACGGTTCCTTAAAAACTTCTGAAAAGAAGGGGCAGATAAACTGCCTCTATTATAATTGTACCCACCATTCAGCATGAATGACTGACCCCCCTATAACCTGGATATGTAAAGGTCTACAGGAGAGTTAAGTAACTGCTATAACACAGAGGGTGGGTTGAGCCTTGTAGGAAATAAAAGCAAACTTATAAAATTACATTTAATCACTATCAGCTATTCTTCAGCGCATGAAAAATGCTCCTGGGTTACATCTAGTCAGAAAATCACATCATCATGTTATTCACAGGAGTCTGAAAACATGAATAACTCTCGTCAGTGATCCTAATTATTCCTACAGGAACTAAAGGTCAGTTACTAAGTAGAAAGCGTTGATAAAAGAAGCATTAGTTTCTGGCAGACCACACTTTACTAGCATTCAGCAGATAATAGACAACTACTTACACTCCACTGTAATATTTTGGTATAAATAAAATCTTTTCTTAAGATTAATAATGGGAATCTTTCATTTCTATAGTGGGTTTAACCCTGAAGCTTCCCAGAGTGTTTTACATATTCTTCTACTGGATTTAGAAATTATAGATCTGGTCCAATGA